TGGGCAAATATTCTGTTAGTGGGATGGACTGTGAAGGACCTGCCTAGTATGGGCTAACAGACCTGCTGCAGTGCTCCCCCTTTATGTTCTTAAGTGGAAGATGGGTATTAACAAAGGGGATATAAATAAGGTCTTGAGGATCTCTCTCCAAGAGAGAACCCGCAATAATGGATTCAAATTAGATAAATTAGATTTCAAAAGGACATAGGAAAGTATTGGTTGGGTAATAGGGGAGTTGATGAGTGGAACGGTCTACATAGTAGGGTTATCGAAGCTAAAACCTTGGGTAGTTTCAAAATTAAGTTGGAAGGTACCTAGGGATAGGCGGAGAGCGTGTATAGTCCCTTTATGTAAAGGGAAGGGGGACAAGAGAGATTGTAAAAATTATACAGGAATAAGTTTACTGAGTATACCAGGAAAAGTGTACGGTACGGTTATTATTGAAAGAATTAGAGGCAAGACAGAATGTAGAATTGCAGATGAGCAAGGAGGTTTCAGAGTGGGTAGGGGATGTGTAGATCAAGTGTTTACATTGAAGCATATATGTGAACAGTATTTAGATAATGGTAGGGAAATTTTTATTGCATTTATGGATTTAGAAAAGGCATATGATAGAGTGGATAGGGAAGCAATGTGGCAGATGTTGCAAGTATATGGAATAAGTGGTAAGTTACTAAATGCTATAAAGAGTTTTTATGAGGATATTGAGGCTTAGGTTAGGGTGTGTAGAAGAGAGGGGGGACTACTTCCCGGTGAAAGTAGGTCTTAGACAGGGATGTGTAATGTCACCATGGTTGTTTAATATATTTATAGATGGGGTTGTAAGAGAAGTAAATGCTAGGGTGTTCGGGAGAGGGGTGGGATTAAATTATGGGGAATTAAATACAAAATGGGAAGTGACACAGTTACTTTTTGCTGATGATACTGTGCTTATGGGAGATTCTAAAGAAAAATTGCAAAGGTTAGTGGATGAATTTGGGAGTGTGTGTAAAGGTAGAAAGTTAAAAGTGAACATAGAAAAGAGTAAGGTGATGAGAGTATCAATGATTTAGACAGAGAAAAATTGGATATCAAACTGGGGAGGAGTAGTATGGAAGTGAATGTTTTCAGATATTTGGGAGATGACGTGTCAGCGGATAGATTTGTGAAGGATGAGGTTAATCATAGAACTGATGAAGAAAAAAAGGCGAGTAGTGCATCGAGGTATATGTGGAGGCAAAAAATGTTATCTATGGAGGCAAAGTAGGGAATGTATGAAAGTTTAGTAGAACCAACACTCTTATATGGGTGTGGGGCTTGGGTTGTAAATGCTGCAGCGAAGAGGCAGTTGGAGGCAGTGGAGATGTCCTGTCTAAGGGCAATGTGTGGTGTAAATATTATGCAGAAAATTCGAAGTGTGGAAATTAGGAGGTGTGGAGTTAATAAAAGTATTAGTCAGAGGGCTGAAGAGGGTTTGTGGAGGTGGTTTGGTCATTTAGAGAGAATGGATCAAAGTAGAATGACATGGAGAGCATATAAATCTATAGGGGAAGGAAAGCAGGGTAGGGGTCGTCCTCGAAAAGGTTGGAGGGAGGGTGTAAAGGTGGTGTGGGCGAGGGGTTTGGACTTCCAGCAAGCGTTCGTGAGCATGTTAGATAGGACTGGAGACAAATGGTATTTGGGATCTGACGAGCTGTTGGAGTGTGAGCAGGGTAATATTTAGTGAAGGGATTCAGGGAAACCAGTTATTTTATATAACCGGACTCGAGTCCTGGAAATGGGAAGTACAATGCCTGCACTTTAAAGGAGGGGTTTGGGATACTGGCAGTTTGGAGGGATTTATTGTGTATTTTTTATATGTATATACTTCTAAACTGTTGTATTCTGGGCACCTCTGCAAAAACGATGATTATGTTTGAGTGAGGTGAAAGTGTTGAATGATGTTGAAAGTATTTTCTTTTTGAGGATTTTTTCTTTCTTTTTGGGTCACCCTGCCTCGGTGGGAGACGGCCGACTTGTTGAGAAAAAAAAAAATACACGGGTGAGAAGGGTTGGATTTGAACGGAACTTGCACATGAGTAATTAGAATTATCAAAGCTTATTTCTTGGGAAGAATTGAAAATTGCATTGGGCAAATATTTTGTTAGTGGGATGGATTGTGAAGGCCCTGCCTAGTATAGGCCAACAGGTCTGCTGCAGTGTTCCTCCTTTCTGTTCTTGTGTGTGTGTGTGTGTGTGTGTGTGTGTGTGTGTGTGTGTGTGTGTGTGTGTGTGTGTGTGTGTGTGTGTGTGTGTGTGTGTGTGTGTACATGTGTGTGTGTACACGTGTGTGTGTACGTGTGTACGTGTGTGTACACGTGTGTGTGTACATGTGTGTACGTGTGTACGTGTGTGTGTACATGTGTGTGTGTACGTGTGTGCGTGTACGTGTGTGTACGTGTGTATGTGTGTGTGTACGTGCGTGTGTGTACGTGCGTGTGTGTACGTGCGTGTGTGTACGTGCGTGTGTGTATGTGCGTGTGTGTACGTGCGTGTGTGTACGTGCGTGTGTGTACGTGCGTGTGTGTACGTGCGTGTGTGTACGTGCGTGTGTATATGTGTGTGTGTACGTGTGTGTGTACGTGTGTGTGTACGTGTGTGTGTACGTGTATGTGTACGTGTGTGTACATGTGTGTGTACGTGTGTACATGGTGTACGTGTGTACATGTGTGTACATGTGTGTGTACGTTTGTGTTTGTACGTGAGTGTGCACGTGCGAGTGTGCACGTGTACCTACGTGTGTACGTGTGAGTGCACTGTGTACGTGTGTGTGTGCGTACGTATGTGTGTGTGTATGTGTGTGCCTCTGTGTGTGTGTGTGTTTGCTCACGTGTGTGCATGTGTGTGCGTGCATGCACGTGCGCACGCACGTGTGCGCGTGTACATGTGTGTACATGTATGTGCACACGTGTGTGCGCACGTGTGTATGTTAGTTACCAATTTGTCCTAGGCACATGTCGATTAGATACTAGGCCTGTTGTATGTGTATGTGCTCACCTAGTTGTGGTTGCAGGGGTCGATTCGCATCTCCTGGCCCCGCCTCTTCAACTGACCGCTACTCAGTCACTCTTCCCGCTCCATGAACTTTATCATACCTCTTCTTAAAGCTATGTATGGATCCTGCCTCCACTACATCACTACACAGGCTATTCAATTTCCTGACAGCTCTGAAGAAATACTTCCTTACATCCCTGTGGTTCATCTGAGTCTTCAACTTCCAACTGTGACCCCTTGTTGCTGTGTCCCATCTCTGGAACATCCTGTCTGTCCACCGTGTCAATTCCTCTCAGCATTTTGTATATTGTTATATCCCCCCTCTCTCTCTCTCCTGTCCTCCAATGTCGTCAGGTTGATTGCTCTTAACCCCTCCTTGTAGGACTTACCCCTTAGCTCAGGTACCAGTCTAGTTGCAAACCTTTGCACTTTCTCTAGTTTCCTTACATGCTTGGCTAGGTGGGGGTTCCAAACTGGTGCTGCATATTCCAATACAGGCTTAACATACACGGTGTACAGGGTCCTGAACACCGTGTGCATGTGTGTGTGTGTGTGTGTGTGTGTGTGTGTGTGTGTGTGTGTGCGCGCGCGCACGTGCATGTGCACGTACATATGCGTGCATGTGCCTGTGCGCGAGCGTAATCCTGGCTAGCCCAAGGGTATACCTGGGTGACCCAAAAAAGAAACACTTGCCATCATTCACACAATCACTGTCTTTGCAGAGGTGCCCAGATACGACTGTTTAGATGTCACTCCAAACATCCAATATCCTAAACTCCTCCTCTAAAGTGCAGGCACTGTACTTCCAAGATTCATGTAAACCAGCTAACCCATTTACCTGCATCCCTTCACAAATTACCTTGCTCACACTCCAACAGCTCATCAGGTCCCAAAAACCATTTGTCTCTATTCACTCCTATCTAACATGCTCACACATGCCTGCTGCATGTCCAGATCCCTTGCACACAAAACCTCTTTTTACCACCTCCCTCCATCCTTTCCAAGGATGACCCCTAGCCCTCCTCCCCTCCACTCCAGATTTATATACTCTTTAATTCATTCCATTTTGATCCATCCTCTAAATGACCAAGCCACCTCAATAACTCCTCTGAATAACACGTTCTGTAACTCCCCACTTCCTCCTAATTTCCACGCTACGAATTCTATGCAATGCACTGCACATTGCCCTCAGACATTGCCACCATCTCCAGCCTCCTCCTTGCTGCAACATTCACAACCCCTTGCTTCACAAACCTACACAGTATATGTACATTCATTACAGCAGCAGTGGCAGCAGCAGCATGTTGTAGTACTACAGTGAAAAATGAGAAATAAGAAGGTAGTAGTGGTGAAAAAAGAAGGCAGAGGAGTATTATCAAAGAAATAATAGTATTAGTGGTAGTAGGTAGTGTTAGTAGTGCAAGAAGGGTATAAAATACCAACAATATGAAAGATATCCAGATGCTGCACATATGTCTAAACTTTCAGTGTTAGTAGTGGAGGTAGTCCCTTAATATGCTGTGTCCTGCATGGTTGTGCGCTAAATTTTACGAAAGTAAAATTTGTCTCTGTACAACATATGGATAAGCCTACCATACAGTATCACTATTTTATCAATTACAGTTCCATATGATGCAGGTAAAATCCCAGGCAGGGCCTGACCTAATGATTAGCAAAACAGACCTGCCCAGGACAAAACCAATAACACTGAACCTACTAATTAAACAGCCACTGGCTAAGGCGTTTTGACCTAGATATCCATATCATGTGATATACGAACTATCTGAGGTAATTAAGGTGCACTTACAACTATATATGTAAAGGTCAAAATGTACAAAGGCTTTAATATTCTTGAACACTACTATGGGGGTAAATATAGGTAATTTTTTTTTTAAATGTGGACATCACCCGAAGCTAACAATATGCATATTAAGTTATATTTTATATGGGTAAATTACTAATCAAACATTTAATTTTCTCAACCATACCTGAGAGGCATTCTGAGCAGTGTATGATGCATTCCTGTTTGAGCTTTGGTGTGATAATCCAGGCTGAGGGGGCATTTTTCTGCTTTGTGTCTTTGGAGATGATATCTGTGGCATACTGGAGCCTCCATGACTGGTGCTGTTGTTACTACAGCTGGTATTCACAGATGAAGATATGCTGCCTAAAGAAATCCATAATCACAAAAAAGACATTCAAGAGAAATTCTACCTTCACAATAGAGCAAGATTTGCTCACAAATGTTCCTACATGTGTGTGAATACTGGATTATGAGGGTACAGTTCATAGTGTCAAAACTGTTCCTACCTGGTAATGAGCTATTTGTTTCCCAATTATTTAACAGAGAAAGTTATTTCATTGATAATTGCTGCTGGAAAATATATGCACGTTAAAAATTGAATTACTACAGATATTGATCAATCGCATTAGGGTAATACAGGTTGACCATCACTAATCTGGCATTGGGACCTGTAGGGTGCTGGAGTAGTGATTTTGCCAGATTACAGAGTAGTTAGGTTAGGTTAGAATACACTTCACCCAACAGCGATATTTACGAATCAGCAATTTCGCCCACTTTATGCCTTACTTTTTGCCCATTCCACTGTTCCAGTCTACCAAACTCACATCTATTTTGCCAGTTTTCCTTCTATTCTTTCGACTGAGTACAAAAAACCACCCATTCACCTACTTCAACTACCCAAAAAAGTGGTCAGAAATCGGTAATTTGGCCAATTTCACAAATATCAAAAGATGACAATTTCAAAATAGGGTCCAGAATAAACAATGCAGATATTCCTGGCACTAAAATGACATTTTTTCTGTTCATTAGTCACGTCTCCAGGCACCTCTTATATTACGCTTGCTTTCCATTTTGAATTTTTATTCACACAAAAAAATAGAAGATTTATTATTATGCAGACTACTGCATTACTGTAATAATTGTATAAATAATGTCAGCCCATTCGTAACTGCATATTAGACCGGCCAGTTGGACACATTGGATGGTAATGTCATTTGTTTCCTCTTGAACATCAGCAAAAAAAAAAAAAACATTTCTGCTACTTTGAGCTCAATTTCAAGGTACAGTGGACCCTCAGTTATCCGCCATCCTTGTTTTCAGCCAACCTGTTGATCAGCCAGTTTTTCGGCTTCTGGTGATAAGCCGTTTTTTGGTGATCAGCCATTTCGGAAGTGTCTGTCCACCGGCTGGGGCCGCTCGTGCATCAGTCTGGCTATCTCTCTCGGTGGGTAAGGAAGCTTCTGCTCATACATCCAAACATTCCGCTTTTTTTCCATTGTTTTTGGTGTTTTTTTTTTTTTTTGCAGTGCAACTGCAAAATAAGTAACCATGGCTCCAAAGAAAGTTGCTATTAAAGTTCCTGTGGTAAAGTGAGAAACACCATGGAATTTAAGTGTGAAGTGATTTATAAATATGAGAGTGGTATGCGGGTGCTGCAACTTGCCAGGATGTACGGGAAAAACAAATCTACCATTACCTCCATCCTGGCAAAGAACGAACAAATCAAGGATGCCAATGTTACGAAAGGAGTAACTTTTCTAATGAAACAAAGGTCACCAATAATGGAAGAGATGGAAAAGTAGTAGTTATTGTGGTTTAAGGAAAGAGAATTAGTGGGAGACAGTGTTATGGAATGTATTACACTATTTGTGAGAAGGCAAGGAAGATGCATGTGAATCTTGCAAAGAAAATGCCTGGAACAAGTGCTATTGTTAGTGAATTTAGGGCCAGGAAAGGTTGGTTTGAGAGATTTAAGAAGCGTAGTGGCACACACCGTGTTGTAAGGCATGGTGAGGCTGCAAGTTCTGACAAATGTGCGGCTGAAAAATTTGTACGGGAATTCCAAGGGTACATAAAGGCTGAAGGATTCAAACCCCAACAAGTGTTCAATTGTGACGAAACAGGCCTGTTTTGGAAAGAAAATGCCAAACAGGACCTACATTATGCAGGAGGAAGAGGCACTGCCAGGACACAAGCCTATGAAACACAGGCTTACTCTTGTTGTATGGTAATGCTAGTGGTGATTTTAAAGTGAAGCCATTACCAGTGTATCACTAAGAAAATCCCAGTGTGTTCAAGAAAGGCAATGTCATCAAGAATAGGTTGTGTGTGATGTGAAAAGCTAATAATGAGGCATGGGTCACAAGGCAAATTTTCTAAAGAGTGGGTTAATGATGTGTTTGGTCCAAGTGTGAAAAAATACCTCCTGGAAAAGAAATTGCCACCCAAGTGCCTCCTGGTACTAGACAATGCTCCTGCACATCCTCCAGATTTGGAAGACCAAGTGTTTATGAACTTCAATAGCATAAAAGTGAAATTTTTGCCTTCTAACACCACTCCTCTCCTTCAGCCCATGGACCAGCAGGTCATTTCTAACTTCAAAAAACTCTACACAAAACCATAGTTTCAAAAGCGCTTTGAAGTGACCTCGGACACTCAGTTGACCCTAAAAGAGGTCTGGAAGAATCACTTCACTATCCTCCACTGCATAAGCCTTATAGGTATGGCTTGGCAAGAAGTGACTTCCAGGACTTTGAACTCTGCTTGGAGATAACAGTAGTCAGGTTATGTCCAAGAGAGGGATTTTGAAGGGTTTGAGGCTGACCCTGTGGACTCTATTGCTGCACTGGGGAAGTCCCTGGGGTTGGAGGTAAGCAGCGAGGATGTGGAAGAGTTGGTGGAGGACCATAGGGAAGAGCTAACCAATGAAGAGCTTCAACTTGAACAGCAACAGACTGCAGCTGAGGAACTTGCTTCAGAGGAGGAGGAAGAGGGAGTGAAGGAGATGCCTTTTTCAGTGATTAAGAACATTTGTGCAAAGTTTCATAGAGAAATACTGCCCTGACCTAGCTGAAACAAGCCATATCTACAACATGCTTAATGACAAAACCCTGTCCCACTTCAGCAAAATCAAGGAGACACTAGAAACAAAGCGCTCTTGACAGATGTTGTGCGACAGGGGTCCAGTGACTCAAGCTAGTCCTAGTGGCATTAAAAGACAAAGAAGGGAATTAACCCCAGAGAGAGACTTCTTAGTACCTAAAGTCCTTATGGAGGGGTATTCCCCTTCCATTAATTCTTATGGGAAATATTACTATTTCGGTTTTCAGTTATTTCAGTTATAGGATGAGCTTCTGGAACAGATTACAGCCAATAACCGAGGGCCCAATGTACTTTCCATCTTGAAACCAATCAAAATCATATCTATTTCTGTAATATATCTTCCATTCTATAAAGTGAGACCAAAAAAATTAGAATACAACCATAAAAACCATATGAAAATACAATTTTACACCATTTTCATTAATCTACGATATTTTCTTCAAAATTATGTAAGAAACACATTACGTAGCATATAAACAAGATACATACACCCACAGTATGATAAATTTCACATAATTATGAGGTGCGATAGATGGGTGGAGGGAAAAAATTGCGTATTCTCTGGTCCAGCGCCAGAGAAAATGTTCATCTATCTGACTTTGACCGAGTCACTCCCCTTAACGCATTCAGCTTTGTATGTAATTCTCGGCATGACTTCTCATCGCTTCTCCCTTTGTTTATGATGGCATCTAAAAGTAGTTGTTAGAAATTATTAAAGTCAGTGAACAAGGTATGCCGAAGGCCGCTTTAACTATCATATGGCTATGTAGCCCAGGCGGGCTACATAGTTACACCTACCCTCTACCTACACCTGATTTCCTAAAAATAAATACTACTCGCATCTCACCCTACATTAAGACTACACATATTTTAAGGTAAGTAATGAGTGTACTGTAGCAGTTTTTTTTTTTTTTTCATTATGCACTGCGTGCAGCAGGATTTTTTTTTATATAGTGCACATTTACTACACAGCTTATTTGAGTGAGCTGAGCTCATGGCAACCGACAGCGACTTCAAAGCCACCTTATCTTTTATGGACAAAGTATGGTAAATGTGCTTTACACAACAAGAAGCATTTCCTTTATTCATTGGAACCATGGGTAGGGCTAAAAGTGAGCAGGTTATAACAATAAATGGAGAAAAAGAAATTGAAATGACTTATGCAGCAAGTAGCACCACCAAACAGTAGTGGCAGGTTGGTGTGGCGACCTTAGAAATCTGAAATTATGCTAGCCGAAATTAGTGCCCGATTACCAACTGCTGGATTAGTGATGGCCAACCTGTATAAAGAGGTATCTAATCTCCAACCCAAGTACATATTTAATAGTACTTCATAAACTGAAAGACTAATTTATACTCTGACTCCAGAATCTTGGATAGTTAACAAATTCCATGTACAGTAGGGCCCCGCATTACGGCATTCCGCTAATACAGCGATATCAAATTATGACCAAAATTTGCTATACGGCAAGCAGTCTTTCAAATATGGCACACTCCACCCGGTTTGTTTACATTCTCCATGTCCACATCTATTATGACAGGAAACTTTCCAAAATTTCAAGTGTTTTAAAGTTACTGCACATTTTACATGTACTCTGATAATTGTACTTATGTGTACCTGCACCTAAATATACTTACAAACTGTGCTGGTGTGCAGTTGCACATTAAAATCGCTAACTCTCTACTCATGACGCCAATACTACGTAATAATAATCACTCTTGGGCACACTAAATGTCTTATTTTACATTAATACAGGTCTCCCTCAACATTCACGTTTTCAGCTTTCGCGGGCTTCACACATTTGCGAATTCCCAACCGCCAAATTCCCAGCCACCAAATTCCCAGCTGCCAAATCATATTCAAGTTTCCCGCCACCTGCGAGTCCCTACTACCCTCCCACCGACCCCCGCAACTGGCAGCCAGCCCTCCCACCACTCAGTGTGGCGAGTGTTTTGTTTGTTCATTATTTGCTAATAAACTACAGTATAAATAATGTAAACCCATTCATGACTGCATATTGGAATGGCTATTTGGACAGGTATTAGACGGTGACATCATGTGTTTACTCTTGAACACAGCAAAGAATCAAACATTTCTGCTACTGCTAATAATAACAATAGTAATAATAATAATAATAATAACAATAGTAATAACAATAGTAATAATAATAATAATAATAATAATAATAATAAATACGATATAATTGAAGAAGGAAGTTGTACAAAAATACAAGGGAGTGGTTGACACATCGTCAGTGTGG